CCCCAAAACCCCAAAACCCCAAAACCCCAAAACCCCAGCAAATTTATCAATCATTGAAAATACTTATTGTTTGTAACTCAACTGAAAACCCTTCTTCTCCCAAGGCTTGTACTTCTTATGAGTCGTGTTCAGCATGATTTCAGTCCCCAGTCTCTTGCTTCTGAACTCATCACAGTACTCAATTATTTCGTTGTGGAGTTGGATGGTTCTAATATCCTCTGACTTCTGAAAAGCTTTACTCTTCTTCTTTGACTTCTTAAGTTTAGTAGGGTTGGTATTCTGAGGAGAAGCCTTGATGGCTTCTTCAGTCATTAGTCTGACAGTCTTTATAACATAGTTGTCTTTTAACGCCTCCAGAATCTGTTTTGCATGTGCTGCATGAACCAGGTTGAGTTCAATGTCTCTAATAGTGAGGTTGCTCTCACACAATTCACAGAACTTCTGAACAACTGCATCATCGTCAATAATACTTTCACATCTGAACTCATAAAGGTTGAGTGTTTTGAGTGCATCAAACAGCAAGCAAAGACCTTCATTCGCATCAATTCAGGTGAATTCTTTTGCTACTTTTCCATTGTCATCCTTAAGTTTTCTACTATTTGATATTCTGTACTCCACTTGTTCCCAGTGGTCAACATGCACAAAATAAGTGTGAATGTAGATAGACACCACTCCATTAGAAGGGACATCAGACAGAGACTCTCTAATGTTGGCCAGGTCTACTTTGCATTCCTTCTCAATTCCAGAAGCATTAGACTTAATAGGCTCAACATAAGTGTTGAAGATATAGTGAGGCCTACTTTTAGAGATAATGCTTTTGTATGAGACCATCGGCAAATTCTCATAACGCCTCGACATCAGATTATTTTTATACTGTTTGACTTTTCCTTTAGGGTGGATTATTAAATCATTTTTAGGAAACTTCAAGTAAACTTTGTCTTCAATAATATTTTTATACTCTGCTATCTTGAGTTGATCTGTGCATATTTTTATATTCTTGAAGCTCAGATAGCTTGGAGGTCTCTGAAGAATTATTATTTTATTATCAGGGTCATAAAAGAATTCATCAGACATGAGCTTGACTTCTAGATTAGAGACCACAAACACTTTGATACTTGATTCCTTTGAGGATTGATATACTATCTCTACTTTGGGATACTTCATGTCTAGATTGACTCTGTCTTCATCCATATCAGATTGGAAAGAGAAATTTTTGATTTTTGATAAATTCTGATACTCCTCATTGTTCTGAAAGAAGCTTCTAGAAGCAATGTACTGAAAGTACACTGTTGCCTCTGTTTGAAACTTCTCAAGATTTGGTAGTTTATATGAGAATCTATCGAGATATTTAAAAGCACCCTTTATGTTGGCTCGAGGAAATCTACCTTCTTGGTAGAATTCTATAGTTTTACAACTCTTGTTTGTGAACTTGTAGTTTAGAAATTTACCCAAAGAATCATTTAAGATTTCAGGGCTGATTGAAAGTCAATTAAAGTTCTTGTCTAGTAATGAAGTGTCAAAATTTAATTGATGAATGCATAATTTTTCAATCTCTTGGCTATTTGACAAATACTTCATTCTATCGGCTTTAGTCAAATAAAGATATGTTTTGCTGTTAAAAGATTTCAAGTTGATATATCTGAGCTCAGATGGAGAAGTTTTCATCACCTTAATTGTTGGTTCATAATCAAAAATAATAGCTTTCTTGTCAAATCCTTTCTCGATATACTTTTCCAAAAATTTATTTCATACCTCGGATGTATAATTCTCTAATTCAATGAAGACTTCCTCAAACTGGTATTTAAGTGTTATCTCTCCCATTTGATCCATAAACATAATCATTGCTTTGAAAGACTCTTCTGACCCCAGCCTCACCTTCATTGTAAAATATCAATAATTCCTAGCTGGTAACAACTTCTTAGCCACAGTTTTGTTAAAGCTCTTACAGATTTCCTTGACAAGGGTTCACTGTCTATAATCCATAATAACCTGTAATATAGCCTTAAGATTTCCAAGCCAGAGTTCTCTGCTCTTCTTGTCCAGCTGCATCATTAACTCTGCTCACTCGTTCACATAGCCGAAGTAGGGTGCCACAATACTCATCAAAGGTAGGCTGTGGGTGACACTGATAGTGGTCGCTCTTGGAATAGTTTCCATCATGTTAAAAGTGATTAATTCAATCAAAATTTGCTATTTAGGGGTTTTGGGGTTTTGGGGTTTTGGGGTTTTGGGGTTTTGGGGTTTTGGGG